ACTTCTGGAGGTGTGATCTTGGGGACCTCACCCTCAAGGAGTTCCCCTGGAGCATCTGTTAGTGCCCAACTACTGTGTGAGCAATCGGGTGATCGAATGGCAAGGAGATTCCCAGCACATGGAAAACACCGTGTCTACGCTGATGGTTAGGCATCGAGTAGAACATGTTGAAGCACATGTTCATCTGCCCGCAAACAATGCTTTCACTCAACAAATCATGGAGGTAATATCACCAGTAAAGTTAAGGATTCCACATTTGGATCCTTACAGAGGAAAAGTGATCCAACCAATCAGGTGACCACTTCGAATCATTGATCATAGTATTGCAGATCAACGACGTGACAAAGTGCAAATTTTCTTGATAACATTGAAGGAGTCTGGTCTTCGGTGGTTCCTCAATCTACCAATTGGTAATATTGTTGATTTCAAGAAACTTTTGTAGCGTATTTCACCAATGTGCATAAGCCGAGGAAGACGTTCTAGACTTTGCCTCAAGTAAAACAAGGAAAGAATGAAAGCCTACGGGTTTACATCACTTGTTTCCAGAAAGAGATGTTAGAAATTAAGTATTTACAACCTATGATTGCCCAGACTACTTTGGCACAAGAAGTTAGAGATTGATGATTCAAGTGTGACTTAAACTTGTTCGCACCAAAGTCTTTTCCCAAACTATTGGAGATGACCAACAGTCATATTGTTGTCGAGGAGGCTCTTACTAGCCGCTCTAGTGTCAAACTAGAATTGACTAACCGTCAATCAAAAAATTGGAAGGCGTGAGACAAAGGAAAAAAGATGAAGGATAACTAGAATCCTGTGGTCGTCTGTGTTATAGCAACAACCAACGACCTTGAGATAACTGAGGCAGCAACAAGAGCAATCAAGGTCAGAATTGAGATTCTAAACAGTGACCATCTTAGTATTACGAGCAGTTGCATATATATGAGGAGATGCAAGGTTTAACCCCACCGAATATTTCAATGGTTGAGTTAGTTGATGTCATACAAAATAACGAGTACTTTAGAAAAACCCCTTTGATGAAGGTCGGCCCTATGCTCCGGTACCGAAACAATTACTGTGATTACCATCCTGATCATGGGCATGACACGAAGTAGTTTTTCCATCTCCAAAACTTGGTGGAGGAACAGATTAAGGCCAGGAAGCTTAAGGAATTTGTCACTGTCGGGGGTGCATACTCGGCGACAGGGAAAGTCCCCAGCTGAGGAACCATCGAAAAGATCGGTCAAATAAAACGAAGTACATAATGCCATAATTATCCTAGCTATCTTTGAGAGAGGTGAGGAGTCATATCATCTATCTAGTCATAGGAGGCATCAATCAGAAAAGGTATGTCATGTTGCTTCTTATAAGAATAACCATCCTCCCATTATTTTTACAGATGTTGATCTTCCATCGAAAGAAAATCCCCGTAATGATATGATCGCCATGATTGTGTTATTTAACAACTATCAGGTGGGTAGCATCTTGGTCGACACTAGAAGTTCAGTAAAAATTCTCTTCAAAATAGTATTTGACAAGATTATGCTAATAAATGCTGGTTTGCAGTACGGGTCAGTCCACTGTTTGGATTCTCTGGTGAGAGAAAAGAGGATATGGGTTTCATTGCTCTAAGAATCTCATGGGGCCAGTGAGAGAAGCAATACACCAGCACGGAGGGCTTTCTAGTGATTGAGTCCTCTCCAACATACAATGTATTTTTGGTCAACCATTGCTGAATAATTATCGAACAGTGCCTTCGACCTACCATGCAGAGGTGAAGTTTTCTAATGATGGAGAGATTATCACAGGTCGGAGGAACTTGGAGCAGTCAAGGAGTTGCTACCTTCGAGCGGTCACAAGCGTCGATCATGAGCCGATCGACATCTGGATTCAAAGGGAAGTGGGTCTCAAGACCAATGAAACAATTCTCGAAGTACCTGCATCCAACAAAGGAGACCCTAATGAAGTTTTTCTAATCAGTGAAAGCTTTGAAACAGGATACATAAGTTTGCTGATCCAGGCCCTTCACAAGCATCAGAAGATCTTTGCTTGGATAGCGACGGAGATGCCTAGGATTTTAGTCAATGTTGCTTGCTATGAGTTGAAAATTAGCCCAACTGCTCGACCAGTGCAGCAAAAGATTAGATCAACCACTAGAAATTTGGCCTAGCTAATAAAGGTGGAGGTCCATAAGTTGAAGGAGGTTGGCTATATCCGAGAGGTCCAAAACCCAACCTGGCATTTAAACGTTATAATGGTTCAGAAGTCTAACAATAAGTGGAGAAGGTGTGTTGACTTCACAAACCTCAATGTTGCTTGCCCGAAAGACACTTATCTATTGCCCAAGATTGACACATTGATGGATGCAGTGGTTGGGTACTCTATGATGAGTTTTCTTGAATCTTTCTCCTGCTAACACCAAATAAATATCCATCTAGCCAACGCAGTGAAGAAAACTGTTATCACTTTTTTCTTTTGATGTAATGCCTTTTGAGATAAAAAATGGTGTGGCAACCTATCAACATCTCATTGATGCAATTTTTATAAATCAAAAATTAAAAAAATGTTGAAGTGTTTGTGGATGATGTGTTAGTTAAAAGTAAATAGGTCGAACAACACATAGAAGATTTAATAGAAACATTCAAACAATCAACAAATTTAATATGAAGTTTAATCCCTTGAAATGTACTTTTGGAGCATTGATTAGCAAATTCTTGACAACCTTAAAAAGTAAAAGCAGTTTTGGACATCTCATCTCCACGAAACATCGAGGAAGTCCAAAAGTTGATAGGTCGAATAGCAAGGCTCGGCCAATTCTTCTCAAAGTCAGGTGACATAAGTGTGGCATTTTCCATAGAGGCGACCCGGTCGACCAGCTCAGGTTCGGGTGTTGATCGTTGTTTTTTCTTCTTTTCCACTATGGCAGAAGCAGGAAAAAAAAAGCCTTCCAGAGCTAAAAGGTGAAAGTCAACATCTTTCTTGCTCAAAACGTCAGCGAAAATGTCAGTCAAGGGACCAAGGAATGTTAGATGAAATGCACAGATCATTAGACTTTTTGTCCTATTTATAGGGTTCATTGGGCACGAAATGCAAGGGAGAATTTATTATTAAATTAAAATTTTCATTTACTATATCATTTATTTCTCAATAATTTTTTTGTCCTTATCGTAGCTATCACTATCAAAGAGCAAAAAATTGGAGAACTAATATGTATATGACAAAAATGCCAACACCAATCTCAAAGTGATCAAGTGGCTAGGAATGGAGATCAAGGCGATCGAATTTTCAAATTAAAGATGGATGCCAACAAACAAATAGCCGACCAACTACACAGCAAATCGACCAACAGAACCATCGACTGATGGACCTCTCACCGAAATCAATTGGCTTTCCTTCGATCGATTCACCAGTTCCCTTTGGCGTAATTGAACTGATATATGATCTCCATAAACATGACCATTCAAGCCGAAACTTCCAGCGATCTACAGACATTATATTTCATTTGCATTATAATATACTTTCATTCAAAATATATATCAATTCAGTTATTCAAACACTAATAATAATTGTTTCCTCCTCTTTATGTAACTATATTTTGAAACCCTATAAATAGGCGGCCACCACATAAATAAAGTGATTTTTCACTCTCTTTAGACTCTCTCTCTCTCCTCATCAGAGCTCTCAAGGCATGCTTTCCAAAAGACAACTTAAGAGTCAACACCAACACATACATACATACAAACAAATATATGCATAAATAAATATGTTCTTCCACTTATGCAAATTCTTCGTAGTCACATACAAAATTTATCAGAAATATCGTATAATCAAATACCTCGATTAAATTTTTAAATATTAATGATAAAAATTTATTTTAAATATACCAAATAATTTAAATTTAAATGAAATGAATAATACGGCCTCTATTACTATTTCTTTTGTTATGAAAAAATAAGTGTTCTATAATTTTTCTATTATTATTATTATTATTATTATTATTATTATATGAAAATACAATACATTTCACACAAAGGCATACATACGTAATTTCTAATCAGATTTTTCTCATGCTTTATTCTTAAGGTCTCGATTATTTGCTTCCAGTGAAAGAAATCATATATCTTTCATTATTGAATTATAAATTATACTAATTATATTTTATCCATTTTCATTTTGAAATAAATAATTAAAACCTTCATTTATATGATATTATTATATTTATAATAATAAATTTATTATTTTGAACATTTGAATTAAAAATTTTTAACTAAAAATAGTTAAATTACATGAATTATATACATTATTCCTGCTACAAAATAATTTATTTTACTTCGAAAAAAATATTATACTTTCTTAATGATACATGAAAATGTTCTGCATTTCATAATGGTATACATTACACGTGTAAGAAAAATAAATAAATAATTAACAGGATGAAATAATAAACAAACAAAGTTAGCTGATTTAAATCGTATTTAAGTGATTGAAAATTATAGCAAAAATATTATACTCAAGCATATTGTTATTAAAATAATAGAAAATAAATTTTGGATAAGAGGCAAAATAACATTCCGTGGCGATGAATTTAGAAACTCGACAACAAAATAATATTAACAATGGGACGTCGCAAAATCACATAAAAGTTTCGGGATTTAAAACGTCACTATTAGGGGGTGTAAACGAGCCGAATACGAGCGAGCCCAGCTAAGGCTCAGCTTGTGTTTGTCTAGTTTATATTTCGAGCTCAAAAAGTGTGTTCTTGTTTGGCCCGTTTGCTTATCAAGCCGAACACGAGCTGTTCACGAACAAAGAGTCGTTTTGGCAACCCGAATCACGTAGTCTTAAGATGTTAAGGGTTGGAACGAGATTTAAATATTATCGTTTATATTAAAACATCATTTGAATCTAATTTAATAAATTGAATTCTATTTTCTTAATTAATTCGAGCCAAAACGAGTCGAACACGAAAGAACAAATTTTTGTGTGTTATTCATGTTTGGCTCGTTAACTAAGCAAACGAGCCAAATACAAGTTGTTCGCCAACAACAAGCTATTTTGACAATCCTAGTTACTACGGATAGAGTTTTAATCCAATGTCCATCCAAAAGAAAACTTCTAATAAGTGTCACAAATCATCACTTACGCCTCTTGGACTTGTTCTTGGTTTCAAGCCTTTGCCTTGCTGCCTGGAACTCTTCCTCAGATGGCTCTGGATCTCCGGTCGGAACATGCTTTGCCATAATGGATGAAATAACAGAATTAAATTGCGCTTTACGGCCGCTTTGTCGTTGGGAAATAAGTGCAACAAGATCGGTATCTGTTTGCGCTTTTGATTTCATTTTCCTGGCTAAAGGATCTTTTGGTGGCTCAATCGAAGATACTTTCTTTGCCCACTTCTGATATGCTTTGGTTGTTTTGAGTTCTCCTACAAGTTTGTGAATGAGTCGGCATCATAAAATTGCAGGCCAGAGATAGAAAAAGTAACATTTTGGATTACAAGACAACAAAAAAAAGGCTAAAAAATGAAAAATAATAATAAAAGATAAAACTTTGATTACTGATTTGAGATGAGTTGGGATGCCAAAAAGGGCTGCTCCTTAGAATTAAGTTTCATGACCAGTTTCAGAGAACATACTCAAAAGTATAAGCTATTTTGTTATTTGAAGCATGGCTTTCCAGAAAAATATGCAACTATGAGCTTTGAAGTTTAGTTTAATTTAGTAGAGGGTCATGGGTTGAATCTTACACTCGCAATCAGAGCTTTGAAGCTCTAAGTTTTAAATTTAATTACCAAATAAAATTCCTCTTTTATTTTCTAGTTTTCTTTCAAATTCTGACACTTTAAAACACGCCTTTACTGTTTTAGGAATAAATTCTATCTTCTTCATTTTTTTTCTATGATTTTCTACATTTTTATGAATAAAATGATGAAGCATCGATAATTCATATGCATTAACTTTCTAATTCAATATTATATCATTTGCATTTTTATCGTGAAGTCATAGTTTGACTTAAATGCTGGTTCATGCCACGCATGCTTACTGAAATTTCAGATTTATCAATTAGTAAAACCTCAGGTGTTCTCCCTTCAAAATAGAAAATCTTATTCTTCCAGCTTTGAAGTTATTGTCACGCTCCGTCGTCTTCTAGAAATTGGCAAGGCAAGCATGGGATGGAAAATTCTAGAGAATATCAGATTGTAAAAATCAATTCAAAAGAGTTTAGAAGATTTCACCCAATTCTAGAGAATACGAGAAGGAAGGGCTCCAAAGAGAAATCAAGAATAACCTATAAAATTTTATGCCTATGTATGTATGTATGTATAGTAGAGAACTCTCTAGAAACTAGGTTATTCTCATGGAATCCAGAAGTTTCCCTTGGGTTTGGAATGGGCTATAAATAGGAATCCCCTCCCACATTTGTGTGAACCGAAGAAAATCTTCCAAGCTTTCAAACATTCAAATGTTGTAATCTTTCTTTCTTAGTGAAGTGTTTCTTTCTCCAATATTTCTCCATATTCTTCTCCCAAAAGTGTTGTGTGCTTACAAGTCTCAGTGTTGTGAGGAATAGTCTGATTTAGTGCCAAGGAAAAGCACTAAAGCCGCACGGGTGACTAGAGATAAGTTAGTCCGCGACAGTTGGCATCAGAGCCACGATTTGAAGGTAAAACAAAATGCTTCAGAGGGCAAGTAATGGAGTTTGAAGTCACTGATGTGGAATTACCTCAACAAGCGCGAGGTCTTCATGAGCAACAAGATCTAGTTGCATTCAAACCACATGGGAGGTCCAAGAAGATCATGCACGGCTTTGATTCTCGTCTTGCTCGGGTGGAGGAGACAATGAATGGCGTGGAGGCCCGGATAGAAGATCTTGACCAAAAGGTAGATGGACTCAAGGAGGAGGATATCATAATCCATTCAACGATTAGAGGTATGATACTCCAACTAGAGGAATCCTTAAGGGATCAGATGACTAAGATGCAAGAAGATTTGATGGGGAAGCTCCAAGAGGTACGAAGAGCCGATGAAGAAGAGATGAGCGGCGTACGTGCTAGCTTGGAGGACATGCGTTGAGACATCTCGCTATGCAAGAGGGCACTAGCGACACCCACCAACCATCACACATTCGAAGCTAAGAGGATTGAAATTTCAAAACCAAAGAGTTTTGGAAGAGCTCGCAAAGTGAAGGAAGTTGGCAAGGACTTGAACAATACTTTGGATCGATGAGGATTACGAATGAAGAGGTATGAATACAATCTGTAACTCTTTATCGCTCAGACATCGTTGTGTTGTGGTGACGAAGGTGATGAGATATAGAGAAAGGTATGTGCACTATATCTACTTTTGATGACTTCAGAAGGGAGCTAAAGAAGCAATTATATTCCGAGAATGCGGAGGATGAGGCTAGAGACCAATTGTGAAGGTTCAAACAAGAGGAATTGATTCGGGAATATATTTGGGAGTTCACAAGCTTGGTTCTTAAAATTCCTGACATGCCTGACAAAGATGTTCTTTTCAACTTCATTGATGGACTCCAACGGTGGGGCAAAAACTGAGCTTAGGAGGCGCAGAGTGCAAGTTCTTGCCACTATCATCGCAGTCGTCGAATGCTTGATTAATTACTCAAAAGAGTCAACAAAGCTTAAAGATAAGAAGAGTGCATGTGTTAAAGGTAGAGAAGACAATGATCAACACAAGAGACCCGCCACGAATTGACTTCATCCAAAGCCAAAGACAAATGATAGCCTAAAAATGGCAAAAACTAAACCACACAACAAGTGCTTTCTTTATAATGAACCACATTGTGCAAGAGATTGTCCTCAGAAGAAGGCTCTAAACTATCTCCTTGCAAGCCATCAAGAGAAAGAAAGTGGTGATATGACAGCACAGGTGGGGTTAATACAACTGTTGAATGAGATGCAAGCTCCAACAAAACCCCAAACAAAGGGGTTACTCTTTTTGGAGATAGTAATAGACGGAAAAACCACTAGAGCAATGGTGGACACAGGTACTTCCCATAACTTCATCTCGGTCAAGGAAGCAAAGAGATTGGTTTTGCAGATGACTGGAGAATGTGGCTCTATCAAGGTGGTCAATTCAGCAGTAAGGCCAATCCATAGAATAGCCAGGAGAGTAAAGGTCAGTATTGGAGCGTGGTTAGGTACCTTAGACTTCTCTGTCATTTCGATAGATGATTTTAAAGTTGTTCTAGGGATAAATTTCTTGGATCAAGCAAGAGCATTCTCAATGACCTTCGCCAATAGCATGTGCATCATGAAAGAGAATCAAGCTTGCTTAATACCGATAACAAGGGCTAACAAGCAGGAAGTCAAAGTGTTATCGGTCATCTAATTTATCTAATTCAAAAGGGGCATTCCAAAAGACAAGAGGAAGCAAAGAGATTGGTTTTGCAGATGACTGAATGATGAGGCTCCATCAAAGTGGCCAATTCAGTAGTAAGGTCAATCCATGGAATAGCCAGGTGAGTAAAAACCAGTATTGGAGCGTGGTCAAGTACCTTAGACTTCTCTGTCATTCTGATGGATGATTTTAAAGTTGTTCTAAGTATAAACTTCTTGGAATCAAGCAAGAGCATTCCCAATGAGAGCATTCCCAATGACCTTCGTCAATAGCATGTGCATCATGGAAGAGAATTAAGCTTACTTAGTACCGATAACAAAGGCTAACAAGCAGAAAGTCAAAGTGTTATTGGTCATCTAATTCAAAAAGAGCATTCCAAAAGACAAGAGGAGTTGGCTATTTTTCACGACTCCAATGAAAAAGCAAAGCCCCAAAAAATCATGCCAAGGGAAGTGGTGGAGACTCTTAAGGAACTACCACCGAGAAGGGAGAAAAATCATCTGATAAGGATGGAGCCAAGGACTAAGCCGTCAGTCATGAAGTCTCACTATATGGCACCCCTCCCCTATACCACCAAGAGAAAACCTAAGTTTGTCAAGAGCAAACAAAGGAAGTTGGTCCAAGTACCAAGGGAAAGCCGCAATGAGGGCATCTTGAACTTAAGTGAGAGAGAGTGGCATGTTCTGCCATCCTCTAAAAATTGACAAGGCAAGCATGGGATGAAAAATTCTAGAGAAGATCAGAATGTAAAGAGCAATTCAAGGGATTCTAGAAGATTTCACCCAATTCTAGAGAATATGAGAAGGAAAGCCTCCAAGGAGAAATCAAGAATAACCTAGAAAGTTCTAGGGCTCTGTATGTATAGTAGAGAACTCTCTAAGAACTAGGCTATTCTCATGTAATTTAGAAGTTTCCCTTGGGCTTGGAGGGGAATATAAATAGGAATCCCTCCCCTCCTTTGTGAGCATCGAAGAAAACCTTCCAAACTTCCAAGCATTCAAATGTTGTAATCTTTCTTTCTTATTAAAGTTTTTTTTTCCTCCAATTATTCTTCTCCCAAGAGTGTTTTGTGCTTAGAAGTCCAAGTGTTGTGAGTAATAGGCAGATTTAGTGCCAAAGAAGAGCGCTAAAGTCGCACGGGTGACTAGAGATAAGTTAGTCTGTGACATTATGCTTCACTTTACAAGGGATTAAAAATTTCACCTAGCACTCTCATTTTTAAACATTATCTGTGAGCGCCAAATATAAAGAGTCAAATTATTTTTAAGAGATGTAAAAATGAAAGCCAAACCTTCATTTATTGCCTCATTTATGATGTCCATAAACCGGTGAGAGTCAAGTTCTCGATAGGAACAGATCATAGAACAAAAGAGCCTACAAAGAAACCAACAATTAAAGATTTGCCAGATGGTAAAAGCTCATAAGCGAGTTTATCAGATTGCAAACATTCTAAGCTACAAAAAACCAAAACACTTGAAAAGACAAGTAAACTCAAATTTGTTTACCTGTCCATATTACCCTTGTATTTTGTGTATAGATCCTTCAAATCTTTTTTCTCTGAATCTGATCCCCGGTAGTTTGCCTCAAATTCTTCAATATCAGCCTCCGTAACCTAAATCCATGAAGAAACATTTCTAAATAACGAATAAATAAAGATTGAGAATCGAATCATAGAATTGATACTTCAAGCAGGAAAATTTTCAGAAGTACCCTCTTATAGATTGATCGGAAGTACTCTTGAAGATTATCAGCTGCATTTCCTACAAGCATCTGATTGATAAAACAATTATGATCAAGGTATGGCTTTGCTGGGAATGAGTTAAAATCATATGAAAGAAAACGCTCTAAGAATTTACATCATCATCAACCAAACCAATCTGATCATATAGAGTTCTTTTATCCTCATCACCTAAAACAGATATCACCTTCTGCAAAAGCTGAAATTTCTCTTTCGCTTCCTAAAAAGGAAAAAAGTGGTCAGAGAAAAGGCAGAAGGCATTGCAATAAATAAACAGGTACACTGTAAGCATAGGCAGCGCTGTACATCATCTCCAGGATTCTTATCAGGATGAAGCCGGAGAGCCAACTTGTAGTATGCCTTCTTTATTTCCTGCTG